CTTATTTTGCCAAATTTTACTACAAAAGCAAGGTTAACCCCTTACAATCTGAAATTTTCCAGAAAGATCTGATTTTGCCCAATTTCGCTAAAAAATGCAAGGTTCACCCCTTACTATTTGAAATGTTTCATAAACATCTAAATTTTACTAAAAATGCAAGGTTAACCCCTTACAAGCTGCAATTTTCCAGAAACATCTGATTTTTCCCATTTTTGCTAAAATGTAAGGCTAACTCCTTGCAAACTGTTCAATCAATACATGAAGTGTCCCATTTGACTTTTTTAAAACAAATTATTTTTCCAGTTTTTAGGGTAAAGGAATTTTCTCTTTTTCCTTTCTCTTTTGTTGTTGCTATATTTTGCGAATTAACTCATTCGTATGGAATGCTCATAGTCAATCAAAGAATATTTCACACATAGGGGCCTAAATTATATATATTTAAATTTAATAGAGACGCATTGATCGTGCTTTCATATACCATTCTAATACCATTGCGAATTACTGTATTGTTTGGAATGCTCACAATTAAAGACACGTTATTTGAAAGATGTATAAATAATATTTATATTACAATGTACATCTTTATTCTTTCCCGGTATAATTTATGGCGTTTCTTACGTCAATTGGCAATCGCGTCATTATATAATGATAGTCAAATTGATCAAACGAAACTCCGTTTTGATTATAGTCAATTATGAAATATTCATTGATTTATGACATACACCTTTGTTTCAATTTTGATACTACCCGTAGACCTGCCGAGCAGCTGTAGATATCAAACTAAACCAAAGTATAAAAGATAGAGGGTAAAAAAAATTAAAAAGTTATGTGCTAGTCAAGCTTTCAGGGATCGGTCTGAGCCATAACAATGCCCCAGCCGATCCCTTAGTTCTCTTCCGGGGTCTCGGCGTCCCCGACCAATACACACTTCCTTCCCTATCCATCCATATAACCCCGGAGGGCCAGGCACCATGTAAAAGCAAAGAGCTAAGGGAGGAACAGGGCGGCCCCTAAGCCCTGATCCTCCGAGTGGACCACATGCCCTGAACCTGTACGAAGGCGCCAACCTGGAACTCGCGGACAGTACCAGCAGCAGTGCTTACCGATTAAGCTAAGGTACTGTTGGTACTTTACGACGGGAAATTAAATCGCTTATAGTGAATAATTGAATTCATACGTTAAAAACCAAAAAGACACCAGCGGGATTCGAACCCGGGACCCCGCTAACCGTGGACGACGAATCGTAACCACTCGGCCATTTCGTTACCTTAGAATTTTACTTAAACTGAGAAAAGTTGTCTTTATAGGTGAGCAAACGCGCCAGGAAGATTACTGGGTCCATTTGCTTTACCTTAATGGGTAAAAACAAGTCGATATAATGAGCCCAGTGTGTTTGGTTTGTTAGGAAGCTGCATAACACAGCCTAATGTGCAAAACAGTCGTGTGCTAGGCGGATCATTACGCAACAATGAACACCGCAATTGTTTATTTTCAAAAGGCAGACGCGTAGATTTCTACTCTTTGTATCTGGGCACATATAGATTCTCACCTCCCTCTTCAGCTATTTCGACTTTCTTCAAAAGAAAAATAGAGACTGTCAGCGAATCTCCGGGAGTTAAATAAGGATCGTCCCCTCGATAGACCTCAGACTCAGTAAAGTTCAACATTGGGCTCTTTTTCAACAGCTGTTTTTGCGGAAACTTTACATCTGGATTTTTTTAGAAGCATCTGATTTTGCCAAATTTTAGTAAAATATGCTCCAAATTTTGCTAAAAAAGCAAGGTTAACCCCTTACCATTTTAGATTTTTCATAGAAATCTGATTTTGCCAAATTTTACTAGATATACAAGGTACACCACTTACAATTTAAAATTTTTCATAAACATTTCTTTTTGCCCAATTTTGCTAGAAATACAAGGTTAAGCCCTAACAATCTGCAATTTTCCAGAATCATCTGATTGTGTCCTATTTTGCAAAAAAAAAATGCAAGGTTAACCCCTTACAATTTGAATTTTTTTCATGAACAACTAATTTTCCCCAATCTTATTCAAAAAGCAAGGTTAACCCCTTACAATCTGCAATTTTCCAGAAACATTTGATTTTTTCCCATTTTCGCTTTAAAAAAATGCGAGGTTGACCCCTTTCAATTTGAAATTTTTCGTAACATCTAACTTTGCAAAATTTCACTAAAAAAGCAAGGTTTTTACCGTTTAGGCTTTGCTCTAATCACTTTACGCGATCCCCTGACGTCTCATACACTGACTTTAGGCAAAATAGTCAGACTTTTGCGGTCTAGTAACCAGACTTTGACTCTTAACGAAACATCGAATGAAAAGGGAAATATCAAATGCATATTGCAAAAGATCGAATGCAAACATACCGATGAAACATCGAATACAAATAGCTCGAAATGTCCAACATATGTGTGAAACATTGCTCACATATTTGAGAATATCGCAAATATATTGTAAAACAACACACACAATTGTATCGAAAAACATCGCACATTTAATGCAAAAAATCGAACATAATATTGAAAACATCGCACATATATATCGTCAAAAACATCGCACATATAAATTGAAAATCGCATATAAATGTAAAACATCGCACACATATATTGAACATCGCACATATATTGTAAAACATCGCACAAATATATTAAACATCGCGCAAATAATGAAAAACATCGCACACTTATATTGAACATCGCACATAAATGTAAAAAATAACAAACACATATTGAACATCCAACATATATATTGCAAAATATTGAATATTGCAACGTTTGACACGCCATATTAATGATTATGTTGTGCCCATTCTTGAAAATCACGCAATCTTAAGAATGCGCGCGCATTCTTAAGAATGAGCGCGCGTTCTTAAGAATGAGCGCTCATTCTTAAGATTGCGTGGGAATATCACGTGCACAATTTATGAATTTTGCGCAATCTTAACAAACATTGCACGACATAATTACATGAATTATGTTAAATGACATGTATAGCGGTTAAAAGGGAAACAATTCATATAAAGAGGAAAGAAAATGTTCTATGCTTCTGTACTCGTATAACTACGATAATTTGAATCAAATTAAACCTGTTATTATTGCTTTTTTCTGCCCACTATGGGAAGTTTGTAATAACGGAGGACTGGGAACTAGTCTTGGAAGTGCTTAGTTTAGGCTAGACAAGTTACAAGTCCCTGTATGTATCATATGCATGCCACGAAAAAAAACCCCCGATGTCCAGAAGCTGCAAAAATTGCTCTTCTGACTAGATAGAATCCAGCTCTGCGGCGTAATGGTGGGGGTGTGAACAATAAATTGGTGGCAATTTAAATGGGAAATAGCATTAGCACTATGGGATGTCACAGTATTCATTCTCATTCTTCACATTCTTCATTCTCACGTCCACCCCCCCCCCGCTCGCTTTTATTATCCCAAAAATCAGAATTCTTTCCAATACACTATTATTATGTCTCTTATTTTTTCCCGGTCCCCCCCCCCCACAATACGCGTATACTTTTCATTAATAAATCTAAGATAAGCCAAGTAGATCATTTCAAATTTTTAGGTGTCATAATTGACTATAACCTTTTATGGAAATTACAGTGCCAAAAGGTTCACACATCAATTTCCCAGTTATTGGGTGTACTACGTAAGCTTCGACATACACTACCTAGAAATGTCCTCTTCTCTATTTATAATACACTTGCATTACCCCATCTTCAATATGGAATTCTAGCATGGGGAAATACCCATAGTACTTATTTGAATAAATTATTAATAGTACAGAAGAAGTTGATGAGAGTCATCACAAACTCCGGTTTCAGAGAACACTCTGCGCCCCTTTTTAGACAATATAAAACACTGAATATATTTGAACTATACAAATACCATCTAGGAATCCTAATGTTTAAATTCGAAGGCAAACTTCTACCTACAAATATCAGGTCCATGTTTGTGAGGAATCTAGATGTCCATTTACATAACACAAGATCAGCCCAAAAAATTCACATTGGCAAGGCTATGACCGCATCATTCATGAAAACAGTTAGACACCAAGGCCCTCTTCTTTGGAATCAGCTTACCCCTATACCGTTCTTTCGGACTACTCATAAATTCAAAAAATAACTAAAAAACCTACTAATTTCCGGTATTATATAACATTACAGACACACTCTCGGAAAAAATGGTCCGGATAACATTGTTAACTTATTTCTTATGATGGGACTGCGGTTTGGCCGAAGTCACTTGAGCGTGATCGGCTGACTGATAAGGTTTACGTACAAAACCCCGAGCCAACGAGGTTTTTGTATAGAAAGCACCCGGACCACATTTTGCGAGAGTGTCCGTAATGAAGACGTGCACCCATAATTCGCATTTGTACAAGTCACACTCCATCATAATCAAATGTTATATTGTAAATAAGTACATGCATATTTCAATTTCCTTAAGTTTTTCTACTATTAAGCCAAGTAAATCATTAATTAATTAATTTATTGACCACTGTTTTAAATTATAGCTATAATTGTTGTTTATTTCATAAGTTATTCACAAACGGGCCGGACCAGGCTCTGTATAAGCTTCGGCTTTTTCCCTGGTTCCCCCATCTGTCACCATTTATGTTTAATTGATCAAGGTGTTGTACATGTATTATCATTCTAGTAAGTTTAGTTATTGTTGTAGTAAATAATCTGTTGCATTTGCATTATATTAATTTGTGACAAATGGAAATAAAACAATACAATACAATATCCACTACTTTTCAGCGCCTTGCGTTGCAACAGTATATCAGTGAACGAGGATGCAGCTAGACTTGCCAAGCGCAGCAGGTGCTCGGTATCGACAAGACCGTTATCTTGTCGCGCATTCTTAAAAATGTGCGCTCAATCTGGAAGAGTTATTTTTTGCGAAGATTGCGCAAGGATCCAGTTGCACAATCATAAGAATGTGCATGCGCATTCTTAAGAATGCGTGATTTTCAAGAAAGCGCACAACAATTATACCCTTGCCCCTTGAGGGCGCTAGTGCTTCCTGCTGAAAGTTGCCGCTGTAGCTTTGAACTTGGGTTAGGCTACTGTATGTAGTGTACTGAGTACTGTGATTGTGAAAACTGAGAATGTTGAGTGCTCCAAACAATATCGTGATGGTTGGCATTGTCTTGAAGCAATCAAGACATGCCTTGGTAAGAGTGATCTGGGGGTTATTTTACATTGTTTTTAAGGTTGCTTCTTTTCCGATATGTAGCAGTAGCATCATGGCACGGTCGATATTAGCCCGACTGCGTCTGGCCGTACAGTACTATCGCAAGCTCTGTAGTACGGCCAGACGCCCGATGCTTCCACAGAGACTGAATTTTTTTGGCCGCCGATGTAGCGATTTTGCTACATCTTTCGATCGCGATTATCTTTTCATCCAGGACACAAATTTCCAAAGTTAAGGTTCGTATGCGTAGAGCAACTCATACCTTTTTGAAAAAACGTTCTTTGGTCTCAATATTTTCATCCATCTGGCCACAAGACGAATTTCAGTCATCAGATTCCACAAATATCGTCCCCCATGCGATCCCCCATGCGATTTCAAAATGGCGGCCGCGCTGTAATGTATGCATTATGCGAGCGCGCTTGGGCAAGATAATGAATATGCATCATAGTTTATGACGTTTGCCAGACACTCAGTGCGGCTGGCCATACAAACACGAGGTCATGAACTAAATAATGTGCATATTCATTACTTGCCCAAGCGCGCTCGCATAATGCATACATTACAGCGCGGCCGCCATTTTGAAATCGCATGGGGGATCGCATGGGGGACGATATTTGTGGAATCTGATGACTGAAATTCGTCTTGTGGCCAGATGGATGAAAATATTGAGACCAAAGAACGTTTTTTTCGAAAAGGTATGAGTTGCTCTACGACTACGAACCTTAACTTTGGAAATTTGTGTCCTGGATGAAAAGATAATCGCGATCGAAAGATGTAGCAAAATCGCTACATCGGCGGCCAAAAAAATTCAGTCTCTGTGGAAGCATCGGGCGTCTGGCCGTACTACAGAGCTTGCGATAGTACTGTACGGCCAGACGCAGTCGGGCTAGGTCGATATGTGACAAGGGCGCCCCCGCGCCTTACCCCTAGAACTATGGGTATTACTTTATTACAATAAATACAAGTAATACCCATAGTTCTAGGGGTACCCGCCCCTTTGTGTTGGTCATTGCATTATCATAGTTTGTACAGCTACAGTGCCATAAATTCGCGCTGCCTAATATTCGCGCAACCAACTTTCTCAGCTCATATCTGTTTACATACCACACATACCAACTTCAATTCACCATCGATGATCGATCGTCACATTTGCCTCTTTTTCTCAAGCAGTTACGTTGCAATTCAAACTAAAACTTTTCCGGGAAGTAGGCTAGGTCCCTAGGGCCAATATGAAAAAATCAAAGAGAAAGTAACTTATTGCTGTAGTAGTCCGAGTAACTTGGACCCAACTTATCGCCTTTTTTAACATTTGGACATGGTCTGGCGATAGTAAGGTCCAAGCTAATACTGCGAGCTGGACAACATCATCCTCTGTCACTGTTCCCAAAACCAACATTTTCCAACAAAAAAACATCACATTTCACCTTCAAAACGGCCTCCAATTTACTAGATATAGATATGCCACCTGAGGTACAAGTAGACATCGATGATGAAGATGGTTGTACTGAAGTTTACTTACGATCCGGAAGAAAAGTGAAATTTCCCGTTCATTTCTGAGAGCTCCCCTCGCGATCTTGAACACGTTAAATTTCCGACTCGTGTTAATGTTTGAACAACGCGATTTCTTCTTCATGTCCAGCGTACATTCAATGATCCCCGTATCCCGAGTGCGATTCCGTTATCGAGCGCGCGCGATGCATCGATTATGATAATGAGTCACGTTTGTAAACACATGTGCATTTCGAACTGTAAAAGGGAATCGGGAACCAGCTTGAACTGGTATCCGCCATAAAAGCTGCGCTAGTTCCCGTCTCCCTGTTATCGTTCGAAATGGACATGTGTTTACAAACATGATCCAGTCTACTCATTATCTTAATGCTGCCTTTTTAGCGCCTTTGATACGCAAACGTGTGCAAATGAATCTGGAAATTTCACGAAAAATAGACATCTGAAAAAGGCAGCATTTTCTGATGAGCCCATAAAGAGGGTGAGTATGCTTCTAAAGTAAAAATAAACTACAAACTAAGCCTCAATGTGAGAATCAAAAGTCGACAAAGTTTGACATGTTTTTGTACATGGTGGAAGTGTGGCCTTTACTTACGGAGGTAGTCCAGTATATTGGCCACATTTATGGGGCTAGGGGAGGGGGTGTTGTGTTGGACACCATCTTCCCATGGGGGCGCTGTTAAAAACATATGGCCACATTTGACAACTACCACTATTTACTTTCCAAGGGAGTTACTAGTCCGAACAGACCCGTGAACGTGGCGTTGTATACAACGCCACGTTACGAGTTGCCGATTAATGTCGCTGTCCAATCCCAAAACGTAAAAGTCAACCTAGGTCGACTTTCACTAAATAATAATTAGGGAGCACAAAAAAACAGAAGCATTGACCCCAGCAATCTTGTCGCTCCGGCTACGTCAGTTGCGATGTGAAGGCTGTTTCTTGTACAATGGATGTGCCCAGACAGTTTGGTTGCGCGCTTCTGTCGGACGTCGGTTGAGAGGTACAACTCCAACAAAACTACAACAAAAGAGGTACAACAAGTACAACTTACAAGAAACAGCCATTGCATCGCAACTTGGGCGCCGGAGCGACGAGATAAAATTGTTACTAACATTTTCACTTTGGAAAACAGTGTGTTTTCGTGACTCACAGCTGTTTAGCCACAGACACCTAATGCTGATTTTATGCGCAGTCAGACAGCAGACTGTTCCTGATACAGTTGATTAAGGCCAAAAAAAAAAAGTCTCCGGTTTCTGGTATGCGCGCGTGTCGCCGTAGCCATGCGCGTCGGCAAAATGACAAAGTTTTTTTTTAATGAAAGATGATGTCCCCAAACCGCCAAACTCACTGGTTTGACTGGAATACTGCTGCTGCACAATTTTAACGTGTTTTTAGATTGGGTTATGGTCGAGAATAAGCTTTATGTGGCCTCTCTGGACTCCCATATATTTGCACTAAGTTTAGTCGGGCACCCTCTGCAGTCATCAGCACACATTTGAAGCAAAAAAATCAGGTAAAAAAAAAAAAAGCCGCGTCGCCGCATCACTTTGTGGGCAACCTCCATACCAGAAACCGGAGACTTTTTTTTTTTGGCCTAATATGTGATATAGGCCTACATGTGTGACAAAATATGAAAACATTAACTTCATCAGCTGATTTCACATCGGTTGCCCTCAGCTTGCCCCAAGGCTAGCAGCATTCCATGGGCGAGGTCTCCATCTGTCGTCTGTGGCTCAATCAGATTCCGACTTCCCAAATCTGACAGCGAGGAAGGATGCTATGCTTCCCCCGGACACTTTCAAAGGGAAGACAGCCTTTATCACTGGAGGAGGAACAGGTCTTGGGAAGGGAATGGCAACCATGCTATCATCGCTAGGGGCACAGGTGGCCATATTAAGCAGGTGAGAAGCAGTTGAAGAAGTCGTGAGTTTCAGAGAGGCAATCTCTGATTTTTTTAACCCTAACTTCCCAAATCCTCCAAATCCTCTTTGCAAGATGGAAGCTTTTGCAGGATAGAGGCTATAATGTGAGGCTGATTTTGGAGGATGCACTGTGTCAAGGTCTTGGGCGGGACCTTGTGTTGTTTATGCTAGGCATAAATTTAGGCCTATATTATACTTGAAATCCTCCGCACTGCTCCAGGATGTCACTGGCTCTGCATCAACATATTGACAGTGGTTGCTGGAGAATTTTGCAGGATTTAAGGCAGTGGTCACCCCTCCAATGACCACATTCAAGAAATAACAGACGATTTTGGAGGATTGAGGCTGAATGCAATTTTTATATAAAGGCAGTTGGAGGATTTTGCAGGATTGAGGTTGCATCCTAGTAAAAATGCCTAGGGAGTTAGGGTTAATGTCATTGATAAAGTTTGGTAGTGAAGTGCTTGAGGATGTGTTGTACTTTGTCTAGGGTACATATGAAGAATGTTTTTTGAAAATGGAGCTTAGAAACGGCTGTTATACTGCACCTTTTGTAGTTTTTCCAATTAGAAAATGTTTCATTTTCGAAATAAACTCTTCATATATGTAAATTTCTTTTCTAAAAGTCCATGTGCAATGATTAATTAGAGATTTTAAGTAAGCGGCAGTTAAACTAAGTTTCTTTGACTTAGCATTTGTACTGAACTTTGCATTTACATGTAGTTGAAAACAAGCATCTGTGGATCTATTGATCTTTTTATTTGAGACCTCACGTTGCCTCTTGTTTCTTTTCACTTCTCTGTATGTCCCCTAACAACTCTCAAAAACTGTTTGCATCATGTGCTTCATCAGCATCCATCACTAGTAACAAAGTCTGTCCGATGTACTTCAATTTGTCCAGGAAACTTGACGTTCTGGAGAAAACAGCTGAGGCAATCACCAAACAAACTGGCAACCCAGTCTTTCCCCTAGCAGCGGACGTCCGAGACAGCGCAGCCGTCAGCTCTGCTGTAGACCAGTTTATTGAGAGTACAGGAGGCCTGCCAAATGTGGTCATCAACAATGCAGCAGGCAACTTCATCTCACCCACTGAGCGACTGTCGGCAAATGCCGTCAAATCTGTGATTGACATTGTGCTCAATGGCACCTTCAATGTAACACTGGATATCGGCAAAAGACTGATCAAAGCCAAGCAAGGCAAGCATGTAGAGTTAAAGCTATAGTCCATCATTTGTAATTAGTGCATTTTGTTCGTTTGAAGCAACAAAAGTGTTCAAAATCTAATGAAGGATACTGAACAACTTACTTGATGAAGTTTCAGCTCAGCTTCAGCTTCATATTCCGAGAAAAACAGCATTCTAGGATCTCAATTTAAAATCAAAAGTTGCTAAATCATGTTTCGAATTGTTTTGAATTGCAGCTTTACGCGATGTTGCGCACTGATCCAAAGAATTATAGCAACCGCGCGCGCCTGTGCATCGTTCCAATGCTTGTGCGCGCTGCGCCGAATAGCAAAACGAACAACTAATTTAAATTTTCCTACGGTGCTTCTTAAGAAGCACCGTTGGAAATGCCTTCTTTCGTTGATTTCTTCAAAATGAGAGCTTGCCAGAAAGGATAATTTCACAGGGAGTTTAGTCCCCTTACTATCTTTCAACCAGTATGTTTTTCAACAATAATTACGCCAGTTACTTTTCGGATGGCTGCAAATGATGGACTTTAGCTTTAACTCTACTTAATGCATGATACAATAGTGATAAAAAGTTGTTGCACAACTCAATTCCGATGCTTCGTTGCATGTTGTTGCATTTGGCAGGGTAACTGGTCGTAGTGCCAAGGCTCTTTGAGGACTGTCACATTTTGTTGCATTTAGCAGGGTTTCTGAAGATAACCTGGTGGAGGTTAGGGTTCATATCATACAACGATGCGTAGCGGGCGAGGCGGCTTCACAGGTGCCTGCTTTGTGGGCGAGCACCTTCTGTGCAGGTGATCAACTCATGAGCACACCTCAAAAGTGGACCTTCGCCAAATCATGGACTCGATTGTTCACGGTCCACTATTTGAATGTGTATAAATGTACACCCCTACTTGTTCCATAGTTGTGGGGACTACACAGGAGTTGTGCCATGGTACTGTGGGGACTGAAGACGCTGTGTTGACAGCAGAAAGTCCCCATAACTCGGTCCGAATTTGCCTAAGAATAGAAAACTTCCCTATAACACGGTGACGGCTTGCCCACCCACACATCTGCATCAATACTGCTCAACACTCTTTGAAAAGTAAACCCTTTGCACTTTATAATATAGCAGTGATTTGTCCAAAATGTCCAATTATGCAAAATTCACATACAATTTGAACTTACCAGCAAGAGCTAGTAGAAAACAATATGTATCCTACTATTGAGGTTCAGAAGTGGACATCTGCTTTTCTGCTAAAAGAATAGCAGAAAAGCAGATTGAACGTTTTGTTTAAATGCATTTTTCTACTTTTCTGTTTTTCTGCTACCAGAAAAGCAGATTGTACGTTTTGCTAAAATGCATTTTTCTACTTTTCTACTTTTCTGCTTTTCTGCTATCAGAAAAGCAGGTATTATTTTAAATTGCTAAAGGGGCATCTGCTATTCTGCTTCCGGAAAAGCAGATTGAACATTTTGTCATGGTGGTTCAAAAGTGGACATCTGCTTTTCTGCTACCAGAAAAGCAGATCGAACGTTTTGTCGCGGTACGTGGTTCAAGCAAAAGTGGCCATGAGCTGTGATGACGTAACGACGGAGGCGGAGTCACTTGGAACCGTCCATTTTTTGGTGGGTACTAGAGTGGCATTGTTGCGTTGGGGAACGTTCAATCTGTTCAGTTTTTGTAGCAGAAAAGCAGATGGCCACTCTTTTGAACCACCGTGACAAAACGGTCGATTTGCTTTTCTGGTAGCAGAATAGCAGATGCCCACTTTTGAACCGTCAGTGAAAAGCAAAAAGTAAAACCTGCTTTTCTGATAGCAGAAAAGCAGAAAAAGTAGAAAAATGCATTTTAGCAAAGCGTTCAATCTGCTTTTCTACTATCCTGCAGCAGAAAAGCAGATGTCCACTTTTGAACCTCCATAATCCTACATAATTAACACACCTTTGTAATTTCTTATGCAATTCAGACTTTAGGCACACTACACAGGTTTTGACAAGTGAGTCTTCTGGTGTGTTTCTTTGATGATTTCACATTGTTTTCTTTTCAGGAGCCAATTTCTTGGCAATCACAACCACCTACACTCACTATGGTTCAGGGTTTGTAACACCAAGTGCAGCCGCAAAAGCTGGAGTCAAGAATCTCACACAGTAAGTTGATTTGAACAGGCTTAGACTTCTATCGCCATCCTGAAGTCCTGGGAAACGTTTATAGATTCTTGAAGACAGTTTGTAATATCACCAAAACAAGCTATCCTGTGTAGCACATTAATTGCAAGTGACAATGTTGTGAAGGGGTGAACATCCCTATAGTCTGGAGTGATTAAACACAACGTAACAGAAAAGCTAGTGCCTCCATTGTGTGACACATAACAAGTCGAGTTGCTCAGTTATTGAGTCAAATCAAGTCAGTTATTTTGTCCAAAAATGTCCAGTAACTTTGAGTCACAAGTTTTTGCTTCAGTCGAGTCACATTATGTTGGTCACAAAGTGTGGATTCGGAACAAAGAATCTTTAGTAAAGTGTGGATTCGCAATTACGAATCAACGCTTTGAACATGTCGGACATTGTTCTCCATAATGAGCATTAATAGGACCGTCTGCGTGAAAATTTCCTTCCGAAATTACCAATGCATCTTCACTGTCAGATTCTCCACCGACACTGCAAAACCTACTTCGAGTCAGAAAGAAATCATCGTCTAAACTATCCATATGTCGACAGAAGGAGCCAAGAAAAATGTTGCAACCTGACGCCACTTTTTTCTTCATACATCATCTCAGTGAAGGTCATTCATTGAAAAAATGATGATAAGACATGAATCTGGGACTGAGAAATATTTCCAATTTTGTTAGGAAATACTTAGAAAACTGTCTTGACTCTCCATAGACTTTGTACACAATCGCGGAAGTGGCGTCAGGTTGCAACATTTTTCCCAAGTCTTTTCATCTCTACTCACTGTTAATGCCAATACTTCTTTTGACGCAATGATTTAAGTCGAAGAATACACTCGCAAGTGTGGATTCTTAATTTACGAATTCACTTGGTGCTTCATGCCTCGTGAATTCTTAAATTATGAATCCACACTTTCTCGTGTATTCTCCTTAACATCATTGTTCATTGATGGGGCAGTAGCTAGTGCACAGAGGCCGTAATATTATGGTTTGCCCTGGTTTTTCCATAAGTACCACCTGTGTACTGGATTGTAGCAGGGCATGTTTGTGGTGTAACACTCCAAGTATCTGATGCATCTAGATGATTGTTTGACGTATCATTTTCCAGGTCATTGGCTTCTGAATGGGGCTGGTATGGTATGAGATTCAATGTTATCGCACCGGGGCCGATATACACAAAGGTAAGTCATGTATATCAGCATCATCCACCAGTCTAGTAGTTCAGTACCTTTGAGGTGGAGTACAGAATGCAGAAATCCTTTTCTACTTGAGTCGTTTGTCGACCCTGGTCAAAAAAAAATTATTACAGATTTCAAAAGAGCACAATCTCAGCACTACTGCTGTGAAAACCGCATGCTGGTACCATCTTTAGTTCAAAAAGTTATGGAAGTCGGAACACCAAGAGATGAGATGAAGTGATGTGATGAAGTGGCCCTATTTTGGCCTGTATCTCCACATAAAAATGCCTGACAAACGACTCATTTAGCTTGATCCCATCACATTTTGGTACCTGCACAAGGCACTTCAACCCAAGGATAGGCACATATTTTGATGTTTTTATTTGTACCTAAACATTAAAAAAAAATTTGAATTTTGACATGTATCTTATAGATCATATTTCATAGATTTGTAAATGACTCATTCATATGGTTCGTGTTGATAAAGTAAATATCCTAGACTTTCAAATACTTTTGTTAGTTGGCCTTGGAATCTCAATGAAGCAAAGGTAGCGGCAAAATATCGGAGAATGTTGTATTGTCTTTAGTTGCATATGCGTCGTTACATCAGTCTTGTAAACTAAGCTTGATTTTCACAGCAGAATGACGGCATATTTCACAGATCTATTTGCCTTTGAAAAAAAAGGGGTGTCTGGTCAAAAGGCATCTTGTGTCAAAATGTGGTTTTGGGTTTTGTGACGTTACTGACCGAAAAAAATCCTGATTAAATAAAAATTACGAAGTGTTGTTTCTCCTGACTAACTTTCATGGTCAAGGGTTGCTGAGTTTGTTGCTGGAGAGTTTGTCAGTTTTCTAGCTTTTTCTTGCCGATGTATTGTACAGGGGGCATTTGATCGCTTGGACCCCTCTGGTCAATTTGCTGAGCACATGAGGCAAGGGATTCCCCTGGGTCGGTTTGGGGAGGTGGAAGAGATCGCTAATCTAGCCACATACATGGTCAGCGACTACGCCAGTTGGATGAATGGATCATGCATTGATTTCGACGGGGGTGAGCTGCCATTCCATGCTGGGGAGTTTAACCGGATGAAACAGGTAAGGCATATGTGGTCAAAATACTGTTAGAAAGGTTGAACAGGGTACTCTCTCTGCTATTTTGGAGCTTCGAACGGAAAAATCAGTTTATTTTGTAAAAGCTATTTTTCTAGCAATACAAATGTTATCCACTTATGAAGAGACGTCAACCAAAAAAACCCAAACTACATTTATATAAGGAAAAGTTGCTGTACAAATCCCGAGTTATTTGTGGCCTGACAATAATTCAGTTTTTGCAGGGTAGACTGGTTCCTGCCCCCTTTGGAATCAAGTATGTGAGGAAGACTCCTGCATGTTTTTTCTGAACAAACTGAAAATTTGAGAATTTTTGGAAGGAAATTAATGCCCAAGTTACTTATTAAAGTATTATTGAGTCAAAATGACGCAGCTGGTATTCCACTTTATTCATCTGTTCCCCACTTTGCACTCTTTGCAACAGGTAACACCAGAGCAGTGGGACATGATAGCAGCAATGGGAAAGAAAGTGAAGGGGTCTTCATAAGCTTCCAAGGTCACCCTACTGTTGATTCCAAGCCTGAGATACCCAAGAAAATATGCAGATTAAAGCTCAACAGTTTTCTGCAATTTACTCCTTTGTCAACTGGTAAGCCCGGTTCATACTTCACGCAAATGCAAAGCGAATGTGAAATTCGCCCGAGTTGAAATATGTTCAACTTTTACGAATTCGCAGCGCGAAGACTTGCCATGACGTCACAGATTTGCGTTTGTTTTCCCTTTCGCGCCGAGTATGAACCGGGCTGTATGAATATGACACAAAAGGAGCTTTGGGAAGTCTGCTTCATAATTTGATACTAGGAGCTTGTTCATATCACTGGGCACAACTTAGTTCAATTTGAAATCATTTCTAGAGCCCTATTGAGCAGTGACAAGGCTTTGCTTAACCCAAACTCCATACTTAGTTTTACTAAGTAGAAGACCACGTCTGTCAAAATCCATCACTCACTCTGCTTCGCATAATGCTTCAGGACCAAATCTGTTAAGATCTACCACTGGTGCTGGTGGATTTTGATGGACTTGGTACACATGGCTTATCTGCCAAAATCCCCAAAATGGGGGATGGATTTTGATGGAGTTGGTGAGTTTAGGGTTAATACAGTGATACATTTAGTACTTGTGAACTAATTTTTTAATGAAGTTGGTAGTACAAAAATGTCTTTTAAGTGGAGTGGAGAGGATCTGCTTTGGCAAATAAACGGGTATCAATGAAAAAATGATAGGGTGATACATGTACATATTTTCAATCAAAATAACAACCATAGTGTAAGCATGTAATAGGCATGATTTATTGTATCAAAATAATACATTTTCCAACTATGTACAATGCAACCTCTTCAATTCTGTTTTAACTCTCTGCTATAAATATATATATGACATTATCTCCAACGAATCACCTTGTCGGCAGTCAATAGAAATGAAGTCTATACAATAGGAATACATTGAGATTAATTTGTCAATTGTCCCTCATGACTTTTCCGAAAGAAAATTGCAACAATTTGCCCACACTTATCAATCTATATCCAATTCAGGCGATTCACAATGTAGTGTCCTCCAAGAGTTTGCCGCGGAGAGTTTATTTTACCCAGTGCATTGTGGGAGATGGTCGACAAATTCGCAGCGCAGGACATTTGAAATTGTTAGTTTTTTTCGATCATTAGTTTTTGTAAGCGTATGATTCAAGTATTATGTTTGTCCTTTTCTTTCATGAAAATGGTGTTTTTTGTAAGTGGGCAGAACGCTGTGCCCCAATCTATAACAAGTTAGCTAAAGTTGTCTACTGACACTCATTCAAATGGGCCATGTTTTGTCGACCCTAAACTTGAAAAATGGACTCTCCATGGCAAACTCTTGGTGGCGCACTGCACTGAATCGCCCGATACCACACAAATTACAAGATGTGTTAATATGACTCCAATGAATACATGTTTATCAAATCAACTGAATACAAATCAACTTTACATTTTTCTGATAAATAAAATGAATACTCGGGAATGATTTTATACTATCTATACACAGACTAGCCAGCAAAGGTTACTTGGTTTTTTTTTTTTGACATTACCTGAACATGCTGCTCTTTGAATTCTGTATAATTATGTGTAAAATATGATAAATTAATATTTTGAAATTTGTTTTGAAATTACTGAGGGAATAAATCTGATAAGATTTTAAGTGAGTCGAGTGGTCCTTCTCTCTACACTTGCTTTGTGAAGCTCAAAACCAATAGTGGAACAACACAGACATAAATTTCCTAAACTCACTGGGATAAATTAATCCATGATATAATGTCTGTCTTGGGGCTTGGGAAAATATCAAGGGAAAAGATCCACAAGTGATGGACGATGGCTGAAAACACTCACATTTTGCCGAGCATGATTTACATGCAGAGAAGAAAATGGTTACTAACTGAAGCATAAAAGACACATGCAGTACTTAGCTTGTTTATCCTCTGCCCCGTTTGCCTTATAATAGATCTCAGCCCCCCCCCCCCCAAAAAAGTCTCCGGTTTCTGGTATGGAGCTTGCCCCAAAAGTGGTGCGGTGACGCGGCTTTTTTTTTTTTGGTTGGACTTTTTTCTTCAAATGTCGGCTGATGTCTGCAAATGGTGCCCGACTGATTTGAGTGCAAATATATGGGAGTCCACATAAAGCTTATACTCGATCGTAACCCCATCTAAAAACACGTTAAAATTATGCAGCAGCAGGATTCCAGTCAAACCAATGAGTTTGGCGGTTTTGAGACATCATCTTACATTGAAATAAAAACTTTTTCATTTTGCCGACGCACATGGCTATGGCGACGCACGCGCACACCAGAAACCGGAGACTTTTTTTATTTTGGCCTTGGCCATTGGGGAAAATTGGTTAGAAAGCCATTAGATAGCTATAAATGAAGAATAAACTTACTAAAAGTATGAAAATGCCCAAGAACATGCCTGTAACTATCCTCTGAAATTTTTACATAACTTTTGTGTTCAACAAGCCTCAAATCATAAACATGCTAAATATACAAAAACGTAGTACAATTGTTTATTTTTAGTGATGCACATTTACAGACTGCACAAGTTTTGCAAACACATCACTGCAAGCCGTTTTGAGTAAGACAGTCGATATCAAAACAGTTAATAACTTTGTTGCTGTAGCACATAAAACATCTATGGCTGCATTGGAAAACAAGCTTGATGCATTGAACACGCACGAAACAACAGCAAAAGGAAACTGTAGAATAGTGATCTGTTGCAATATTGGCCACATTCATTCAAATGTCAAAATGTCTTATTTCCCTAAATGTGCACTGTTTAAACAACTTTCTGATGAGTGCATTTTTTTTCTTCAGTTCTACAGCAAGTTTTGAGAACGCTCTCCAATTCTAAATTTGTGATGGACTGCCGAAAAATATTGAGCATGCTTTGAAGTCTACATGTACAGAAAATACAATTAATTCATACATTGGAATTTTAGGGAAACTTTAGACAATGTACAATAATGTTTTAAATTTTGAAGAGCCGTCAATGCCAAACATCCAACAGCAATTTCTTTTCTTCTAAAATGTTTCTTACAAAATATCGCGTCAAAAATAACCTATAAAATATTTGCCAATGTTCCGGTATATACAAATTTAATACTGAATTCATGAAGAACAGATCCTGTTCTAGACTACAACTTTTCAGCCCTCGATATCAGCCCCCAACAATCATAAATGGTCTAATACAAGTTATGAAGAGTAATGAATACATATAAGTACACAAATCAAAAGCAAGATTCAGATATATGGACTCTTGATTTCATATTGAATATACACTTTGGAAGCAATGCATACCTCTTTGTTTTATCCATGATAGGTCATGCTTTTCTATTGCCTTTAAAGAGGTTGTGAAATGCTCGAAGACATTTCCGTCATTTTTCGGGTATATGTAGCCTAAGGTGTGATGAAATAAAAACGACTATTGTGTCTGTCATGAAATGAGTACAAAAGGTACTTTTGAGAGCTGTTTTTCAGGTCCTGTTTCGACCCGAACGTGCAGTTTGTGTAAAAGTCGTCGTTGGGGGCAGCAAACAAAACATAGTAAATGGTGACGTAATAAACAGGACTCCCGATGCAGCGTAGTATAAACGAGTCCTGTTTATTACCGCACGATTTTTCTGATTTTACGAAGAACCCGACGACTGTTGATTTCAATTATGCGCTCGCCGACCAACAAATTACTCGATGAATTTCAGTTTTATAAACATATAAATGCACATAAGAAAAGAATGGGACTTTGTCATTTTGATATATATGGGTCTACTCTACAATGAAAAAATATAAAAAACAAAACGACTTTCAGCATTCCACAACCTCTTTTAACCTCTGAGCATTCACAAAAAGCCAGTAACAACATGCTTTAAGCAGTAACAATAACCTCTGATTTAAATTCATCAAGTTCAAATTCGCCAATTTTAGAGGTCAAACTAATGTTGAAGTATTTCACCTTAGAATGCCACATATCTTTTGCTTCGTATGGTTGTGATTTTCGAAACAGTTTTTATGGTAATGTCTGCTTCATGCTGAGTACACATTTAATTGTAACATAACAAGAGTCATGGTTCAGATATCAATTTACAAACTTGAAAAAGTTCCTTTTCAAGTTAAGTTGCGCTTATTATTCCTGAAAAATGAAAAAGGTATTCTGTACCATCAAACTCATCTAGGATATATATGGAAACGGTTATGTTAAAATGATGGTTTCTAAAAGGGTTCAAATACATGTGCAGTCAACTAGATTTCTATGTTTTTGCAGAAAGAAATTTGTCTCTTCTTTTTAGTGCTCTTTTACTCAAATATGGAACAGTTTTCAGCCTCTGAAGAATAAACCAATATAAAAAGTCAAACTTCCAATTATAATAATAAAATTAAAAAAGAATGGCTTTATGTAGGCATGACATCAAAAGCTTAATTTAATATAAGTTTGGGAAGAAACTGATGATGGAGGCCAGAGTCTTTACTGAAAAAAAACTGCCTATTAAACTGATTCAAATTAAACATTTTACAAATAGATTCACCATGTATTGTTTTCCAAAATAAGATCATGATACAAAAGCACCACACAATGACATGATAATAAAAAAACAAAACAAATTTGATAAGTCAGGTCGATTTTGACATGCCCTACATTTCATAATTGTGCCCATGACTTTTTATGAGGATTTTTTTTGTGATCTTTCAGTTTTTGGAAATTCATGCTTTTAAAACTTTTAAGAACATGTAAAACTTGTTATCAACTTCCAATCACGGTACACTGTACGATAAAATTGAAACATTTTCAGAGGCAATTGATTTTTTAAAAATTCACTAAAAATCTGCTGGGGATTGTGATTAAAAACACATTAATGCTTATTTTTACTACATTTTTGGGAGAAAAAAACTGTAAGAATCCATGCACAAATTGGACTGAGTTGTGATAATCTAAAATTTGGTCATTCCTGCAGAAACTCCTCACAACATTACTTGAAAATGGACCTCCTCTTTCTGCTCAAAATACTTAGTGCTCTGCAGTAGGAAAGATGCTAACTTTGTTGGCATGTGTACCATTTGAGTTCCACAGGTGTCTCTTTATTGAAAGATCTTTAGAATTTGCGGAAAAAAGGGATTCACACCGACTGTGCGTAGAGTTGTTCTCTGTAAATTCTTACAAATCCAGACACCCAATTGGGTTGTTCCGTGTTTAGAACAAGACATATTAAGTTGAATTTAAAATGAAAGCCAACTTTAAAAAATTAGATTGTGGTTAAAGGGAATGTACAACATTTGCTCTTGCTGCAAGTTTCAGTACTAAATGGATTTGGGGGATTAGAATTTTAAAGCAAATATTGTTAAACTGACTTGGTTCACGTTTTGGGCTTGAAGATGCTGGAAAAAACAAGAAAAACATCATGTTCTTGTAGTCTGGTTCCCTGACCCCACTTAAGAAGAAACGGAGCAGTTGGTGGACTTTGGGGAATTGTAAGGTCAGAGAATCAGTCTGGCAGGCTTGTACCCCTTCACAGGTGTGTAATCAATTGCAAAGAAAATGCGAAAAACTAATTATGAAAAATTAAGAACAGTTTTTGAAAAAAAACCAGTTTTCTCCAACGCTGGTCAGCCGACCAGCGTTGAAAAAATACCATTTTTCTTGAAAATGTCAGCACACCAGGAGTCACGATTTTACAGGGTGTTTTAGAATGTCATTCCCTAACAATCCAGTAAGATATTTCGTGATAATTTGATCATTTCGGTTTTTTTATGTTTGCAAATGTTGTATCTTCCCTTTAAATTAAATGTACAAATAAAATAGCAAGTTTATTAGAATAAAATTGTGCATAGATTTTCAATCTAAAAAATAATAAGTAAACTAGTGAGGTAAAATAGGGATCAAGAGGTCTGGTATTTTTTATGTGATATCCCTCAAGTCTTTTGCAGTGCTAGTGCATATATCCTCATCATGGCTGCCCATTGAGGTGTCATCACTTCTACCACAGACCTGCTTTACTGTTCAACACCCCTCTGGCTTTCTTGACTCCTTCCTTCTCTGAGGATCCCTTTCCTTTGTGACCACGTTCCTTCTTCTTGCCCATCCCTGAGCTGCCATTCGCGTTGACTGTCGCACCTCGTGGAAGACTCTTACTACCAAGATTGTTGACACTCTCGGGGCCTTTCATCCGTCCGGGGCTCTTGGCTCGACCAGGACTCTTGCCGCGACCCAGGCTCCTGGACCCGTCTGGGACGTCCTTGGCACTCTTCTTGGGTGACGGTTGGCGACGGTCTTTACTGGAAGACCCGGATGTGATCGAGCCGTTCATATCAGTCAGGCTGGAGCCGGCGGAGTCGCTAGAGTTGAGTCGACGTTTGTCCTGAGGGTGGAGGACACCGTTACCCAGTGGGGTGACCAGCTCGATGCGGAGACGCTGGGAGCTCAGGATCTCCTTGACCACTTCACCGTGCTTGGCCCACTTCACGCTGCGGTCATTCACCCCGACAATAAAATCACCCTCTTTCACACCACTTGCCTGTTAGGAATTTAAAAATGTTATCAGTAAATATTAAGTTTACTCTGAAAATGCAAAATGTTTGGATAATACATTTGCTAACACATTCCAAGTTGTGTTCATGAACTAAAAACTTAAATGTGTTACTGTTGCCAGCCTAGTAACTTAGTAACTTTTACCATTTTATTAGTTACATTGTTACATTGACTGTTAAAAAAATTTGACATGGTCGCATTTTGTCATCACAAAGGCAACTGTTTGTCTGTCCAATACCAACACGATCAGTTGCACAGAGATGTTGCATATAGATGTTTTTACCACTGACATTCCAAACAAAGACTTCCCAAGGTTTTTACCCTAATTTTTTTTATCTATTTCTGGATTTGCCCTTTTAACCCTCCGACGCAGAAAGCCCATTTAGTAACACACTTACAGTAAGGGGTCCCCCGGGGACCCAAATATTTAGCGCCACGGTTTGAGGCTACACAACACTGTATCCACATGAACACAATCTTGCCATGTCTGTAGACTAAGGAGGTGTACTTGTATACATAGTCTGTGGCAGTCCTTCATTTAAAGAAAATCCAGGAGAGCTATAAATCGCTCTCCTCAAATATTCGAGGAGAGCAAATCGCTCTCCTTAAAATCTACGGATAAACAGCGGTAAAACGACGGGTTACCATTGTTTTTGTTTTATTTTGAATATAAGGATTTATTCAAGGGGCTGCATTATTATTAGTTTTTGCATAATAACATATGCTCAAGTTGCGTTACTTTTTTCGTTTTGTAACTGTAAGACAAGGTAAAATTTATTTAAAAAAACTAACTAAATGGAGATTAATAAAAGGTTTGACTACTGCTCAGGCTTTCATTTTTTAATACAGGTGTCAGTTGGTTCATCACTTGATTATACTTGGAAAATGGAGAGCTAATAAACGGCACATAAAGCAACTGAAAAATTGCTTTCAGATTCGTTAAAATTATATGAAATTTTCAGCCTGAACTATTTCAATTGCTCTACGAAAGCTTCACAAAAAGGGCCTCAAAATGACACAAACTTGCCTTAAGTTTTATCGAAAATATCTGCCGTCGATAATCTTAAAAATAACGGAAAATGCAGGTCAAGTATGCCATATACACAATGCTAGTCACGACGAGAAACTGGCTAACAACATCTGAACTTCGCACTAGTACGAGCGTTTGTGATGCACTGTGTGTGGTGGGCCGGCAATGAGACTCGTTTCACGGTATAGGATTTCGGTGAAACACGCTGCATCGTTTCACTTCACATACCAGTAAAACTTCCTCAAAATAAATTCATGAACACGGGAAATACATACACAGACAAGAGAGATCAAGTTTTGTGAATAAGCTTGCAAAGATCGTCCTTCTCAATCGTTGTTTTCTTGGCATTTTTACGACATCTATTCCGTCCAGCCTGCACGCAAAACACTGTACGGCAGGCAGTGCATTGCACCGCGCAGGACTATTACATTGACTGGTTACCGCATTTTCATCATGCCTTCATTGGGACTTAGTGGGCGGCGCAGCGGGAACCAGTCATTGCTGCACTTGCACGTACGGGCCCACGTGTTTTCATGCAGCTCTACGCGATATGCAGATTGTGCACGCACAGTATACAACCGCTGTACACACACGATCTTATACAGTACATACGAGCTCGGTGTTCGTTCATTTTTAGCGATGTCCAGCGGCATATTAACGTGAGTTTGGGCATTATACCAACGAAAAATACGTGTAGCTTAAGACTTAAAATCCTTTGCGTTTTTATCACTTCTTATTTTTAAACTTCCCGTGTTTGACGAGCCCTCTTTTGGATTTCTGAGGAGCGCTATTTTTAGCGCTCCTTCGAGACAGTCGAGGAGCGCAGTAGGAGCGCCTGCGCGATCGCGCTCCTTAAAAATGAAGGACTGCTGTGGTCAAGCCGTGCACTGTCTACTCGCAAGTGACCTTGTTTGTGCACGTGTATATGGTGGGTCCCCAGGTGGGCAGAAATTGCGTCGGAGTTGTTTTGTGCGCGTGTATATGGTGGGTCCCCGGATGGGCAGAAATTGCATCGTCCTTAGCCCAGGTTGTCATGCTCAGATGTGCCTGACCCGGGGTCACACACTAAAGGTGACTGCATATATCCGTAGAGGGTGTCTCTTGCTAGGATTAGATGGAAGATCACCAGAATTGGTTTAATTTTTTTTTTTAATTAAGGTAATTAACCAAATTGGGTCCCCAAAAGGGCTAGATTCTGCGCCGGAGGGTTAAACTGACACTTTTTGTATTTATAAACACTATACACTCAGTGTTGTTCGAGGGCTTGCGAGAAAAGCTTCACAAGCTTACTTGGGTGGGACTCGAACCCACAACCTTATTTTTACTCTTACAGACGTCAGACCACTCGACCACTGAACTTACCAGGGTCTGCTGGCCTGTTTGAGTCTAATGTAGCAGTAAGTATCGCAACCAGAAACAAGTTTTTTATCATTGTAAAGTAGGAAAGAACAAAGCCTGGTATGATTAAATTGGGTGAAAACCAGTGACAATGCCTATATTTTCTGCAATTGGGACCACTGCAAACCATGTAGAAATGGGAGGCAAATGTGGCATGAAATAACTGTCTATTAAATCAACACTTTGCATAGTTATTTTTTAGGCAATTTGCACCCTAAATCAAACTGCTGAGATGTAGGAATCTCGACTAGGTGAAATAACCACACACAATGGTGATGCAATCTGCACATTTTTCTGGGCTGCATTTGTATCCCGTACACCCATCATTTCAAATAGCCCTTATTTTGGACCATAATTGACCCTCGGATGTGCAATCGTTTTAGCTAGTTTAACCCTCTCTCTGTGTAAAATTTGGAACTCCTTAGTCACACAATTTGAACCGACATAAAGGTTGAGCTTACCGAAGCCACATATCCCGGGTCCACACTGGCGACGATAACGGGCGAGTCACCACGCACCGTGAAGCCAAAGCCTTCAACTCCTCGCTGGATGTCAACCATACGAGGAGCTGACCAGTTGTTTCTGGAATTAAAGATAGCAAGTGGACCCTGCAGGAAGCAAAAAACAACAAAACACAAGAAAAGGCAGGTCATTAGCAACTGGATGGAAAGCTGAGAGAGATGTATGAGACTAACAAATGGTTTTGCTGGTTGCATTCATTTATAAAAGATTACGTGGACGATGAGGTTTTAAAATGTTTGGACAACTACTCACAAGTTTATGGAAGATGTCGTTAACTGTCACTCTTGTAAAGTCAATCGCAGTCGGCTCGGGAACTTGCTTGGCCTTACCTAATACGATGCAAAAATAATAAACATAGACAAGAGAGACAGAAATGAATCCTAGTTTATGTCAAGTTCATAAACAAATACTATAGAAGTGTCTCGGGAATCAAAAAGTTCAGTAAGATTAACTGACCAAAAAAAGGTAACTGCTGTTGTACACGTAACTGCAGAACTTTGTGCATGTAAGATGGAACTTGTTATGTATGATTTCATAAATAAAATCATACATTTCACAATATTTCTGGAGCATTCCCTAAGAGAGAAACAGCATCTTCAAAACAATTATTAGTACCAATAAATGAAAACCAAGATACCAAATACATCAACGATGGTCAACACATCCGTGCCAACAAAAGAAAATTAACAATTGACAAATACAGACAAAACCTTTTTCACAGATGATAATTTACATACATGTACATGTACAACCTAATATCAAGTACAAGTGTAAATTTTGTTAGTGATTTGAGGGTTTTTCATTTGAAACTCTCTCATTTCCTGTTAGTTGTCCATTTTACGGTCTGTAGGTTTTGTTCACGATTTTATGTAAGATCCCTTTTCTGTATAGCTCCCTATTTCTGTGCAGGTTCCTATACACATTCCTATTTCTAAACAAGTTGTGTTACTAAACAAACATCCTATTTCCATACAAACTCCTATTACAGATTCAGTTCCAAATGTCTATTTTTAGCTACCCCGCAAGCCTGAGTGGTTGTACTTCCCAATATATGCCACTTTAGCTTTGTGACATGCTAAAAACACAGATGCAGAATTTGTTTGTGTTCCACGAGTGCAAGTGGGATAATAAATTTCTGTTTGAGCTAAACTTGACACAGAGTAAAGATCCAATCATACACTGTGGTCATGTTTCGGCTCCCCTCCTATTCCACATGCCTGTATGACAAAAACATGGGGACCTTGGAACAGCAGGCATGCACCCAAGAAGTAACCAAAAAGATGAATTTCAAGCTTTCAGACACGCAACTTTTCCTCGGATCAGCTGATTTCCTCATTTTTTTTACTTCACACTTACAAAGTCTTGTAAAGATTGGAGTTTCCTCGTTTTTGTGTTACTTCCAAGTTGCATGCCTGAGCTTTACAAGCATTTATGCAGTATTTTTCAGTGATGAGAGGAAAACGTTCATGTTGAGAAAAGGAAGTCATGTCATGCAGTATGGACCGTGCACCAGTGGATAATGCACACTGTTGTTGCCATGGATAGACCAATCGGGATCAGAGATGTGAATTTACTTGAGGACAAATGCATTAACGCTTGTGCGTATTTTGGTTATATATTTTGCATCGAATAGAAGGATTCACGCGTGCCTGCAGTAAACATAAATTTGATATGCACAGGGGTGTGAGTGACCACTGATAAAAATAGCTGAAAACAGCTGGAAAAAAAGTGTAAAAAAGTTGAACTTAGGAAATCTCCTATACTTTTGTACACAGCAAGTGAAGGAAAAATCTGAAAAAAAAGCTGAAATCCAACACACAAAAAAGCTGAAATCAGCTTTAAAGCTGAGATTTCACACCCCTGTATGCAGTTATCAGGAACTAACCCTTAATGTCTGGGACATCCATCATCTCAAAGAAGTCGTCCTCTTCATCTAGCTCTGTGTAGCAGTTCATGGAGCGGTCGGTAGACTGCCGCAAGACCTCCTGCAGTGTGTCAATCTTACGCAGCATCTTGGAGAGCCTGTGGACCCCCAGGGCCTCCTCGTGCAGTATCAGAGCCTGCCGGATGTGGGCTTTACTCAGTCGCTTGCGTTCCTGCTGTGACCGTGGCACCTGCAAGGTGCGATGTTCATCGTAGACGGTGGGGAAGACTCTCTCTAGTGTGGCCTGATCGTAGGTGGAGTCTGCATTTCAGAGATGATTCAATTTAGTTTAAATATTTACATTTAGAAACTTTATCAAATTAACAAGTACATGTATAGTATGTTGCATATATACATTATCAAACTTAAAAAAAACTGCACCCACATCATGATATGGGCAATTTCACGGTTACTCACGTTCCATTTTTGATGTACTTTTGAGTTTCCATGGGCTGTAATTACCTTACTGAAAAGGTTTAATAACTGTTATCCCCATGGTAGAAAGAGTGGGCCTAGACCTACCTAAGCACCAAAGATGGCATCTAGAAAAATGTGTTATGTATGTGAAAACAAGACGCACAAAATTGGTTACTCACGTTACGAAAATGTAACATCTTGTTAATCATACAGAACACATTTTTCTGGATGTCATCTTTGGTGCTTAGGTAGGTCTAGGTCTACTCTATCTACCATGGGGATAACAGTTATCTAACTTTTTCAGTAAGGTAATTACAGCCCAAGGAAACTCAAAAGTACATCAAAAATGTAATGTGAGTAACCGTGGAATTACCCATATGCCTCTGATAATTATTACATCAATTATTATCCACGTGGAGCATTGTGGGCCCTATTCAAAAGGCCACGAGTTGCTGCTCAGAACACTCTTATTCCTACCCTAAAGAGTAGCAGTTGCAATAGAGTGTCTTGCCCAGGGACACAAGCACCATGATCCCTACCAGGGTTCGAACCAACGTACCATCTCACATGAGTCCAACATTTCAACACAGGACCTGTCATGCCTGTGCGAGATAACCGCTTAGGAGGTGTTTGCGCGGTAACCACCAGGACCAGAACTCTACAAAGATCAGTAGGTTATCTTACGTCTATCTGAGTAGCCCATTGCTGCATAGTAGTGTGATGACGCCTTGAAGTGTTGTGATTTGACCAGCACCAGGGAGATCCAGGAGTAAGGGACGTAATCTTTGACCTTAGGATGCATCATGAGCTGGTGCACCTTGGAGTAAGCCTCCGAAACCTGGTAGATGACAAAGTTTTGAGGAAAAAAATGTAAGGCATAGGCCAAAAAAAAAAAAATAGTCGGTCTCTGGTCAGACCGAAGTTCCGGAATTGATGCGGCGACGCGTTTTTTATTTTTTTATTTGGTGGCTTTTTTTTTTCAAGCTTGTATTGTACAGTCAAGGTGGGTACTATTTTGCTTGTTTGTGTCCTCATTATACATTGGTGTCCTCCATCATTTGCCTTGGTGCCTTTTATCATTTGCCTTGGTGCAATTTCCCCATTCCTTGGTGCTCCTTGGTACAAAAATTTGAGGAGGTGCGGCAATAGAGGGTGCTGTTGTAGCTTCCGTGTTAATTTGAAAAAAAAAGAAAGGTTGACGCACATGATTAAAATCGACACGCACGCTGACCAGAGACCAATTATTTTTTTTTCTTTGACCTTAACTTTGAAATCCTTTCAATTTATGCAGAAAATGCATGTCAAGCTGCCAATATCAAGATCAAACATACGTCACTAGAAATCAACAAATTTAGCTTATATTTAGATTTAACATACATGTACCTTATAAGTGCAAAATAATAAACTATTGGGCATAGAGAAATGCTAAATGTTGTTCAATGTATTAAGTGGAAATAGCCTTTAACAAATTGTGAACTGCCAATTTTCTTCATCAGTTCGGCTACCAACAGCAGGGATTTCTTTTATTTTGAAATCTCTGGCAGTTAAGGCATATAAATGAAATGGAAGATGTCTTAAAGGGAAATGTACAACATTTGCTTTTTCTTTAATTTTCAGATATAAATGGATTTGGAGGATTAGTATGTTATAGCAAATATTGTTAAACTGACTTGTTTCACGTTTCGCGCTTGTAGATGCTGGAAAACAAATAAACCCAATCATGTTCTTGTAGTCTGGTTCCCTGGCCCTACTTAAAATGAAACGGAGCAATTTATAGACATTGGGGAATTGTAAGGTCAGAGAATCAGTCTAGTACCCCTTCACAGGTGTGTAATCAATTGCAAAGAAAATGCGGAATAATTAACCATGAAGAATTAGGAACACTTTTTGAAAAAAACCAAACAGTTTCCTCCAACACTGGTCGGCCGACAAGCTTTGGAAAAAACAATATTTCTTGAAAATGTCAGCAGACCAGGAGCCGCGTTTTTACAGGATACTTTAGACTGTCATTCCCTAACAATCCAATAAGATATTTTGTGATAATTTGATCATTTCGTTTTTTGATTTTTTGCAAATGTTGTATCTTCCCTTTAACAAAACAAAAACAACCCCCTCCAAAAAAGAAAAAAAGAAAGAGAAAAAAAAAGGGATGATCGGCAGCAGCAGCAGTAGTGGTAGGAATATCCGCAGCAGCTGCAGCAGGAACACAAACAGCAGCAGCACTAATATTCTCAGCATCAACACCAGCAAGTTGAAGGAGCAACAGCAGCAGCAGCAACCATACGTAACAGCAACATATTCAGCAGGACATCAGGACAGGCTAACACCTAGAGAATAAGTCACAAAGTATAACAGCAACATTGAACAAGTACTAGACTTACAACAGCAGCTTCTTGTGCTATTTCAAAGCTGGTCTGGATGTCTTCAGCAATACCACCCAGAACTCTCCTCTCAAAGATACACTCTTGAACTTGACCCTATCAGAAGGAAACACACAAAAAATTCCAAACTGTAAATGAAAACTAACTTTACTCTAGCCTCATATGGTGACAACTGCTCAAATGCTTAGAACTTTATTGTACACATAGCTTTATCAAATTCACAAGGACGCATTAAGAACGGTAAGTACAAAAACAAATGTTCCAGTTTCAGTTGCTCCTTAACAAAAATTGTATTTTTCCCGATTAAAGACTTTTATGTATTATTCAACTTATCTAATTATTCAACTTTCTAAAAATTTGTCAAGAGAACTTTCTTTCAATGAAGCTATTGTTTTAAGACAGATCCACAAGGCATGTTGTGTTGTGTCCACGTAAAGGGTGCTATTATGATCCTTGCTCTCCCCCGTAAAGATTCTCTATGCAGAGAAATCCTGCATGCATCAATGCTAAATGCACCACTGCGAGTTGCTGTAGGTACAGACCATATTACATTTTCTTGTGTTTTTTTTACAAATTGGATGCTGTAGTCACATGATGCCAACTTTCAGAAAACTGTTCTCTTCTGCACATGTGAATCTCTTAAAATGTGACTGGTGTGAAATTGGTGACATGTAAACTGTTATAATGTAGGCAAAATAACATGCAAATGATGCTTAAATGCTTGGGCTGCCCGATAGTTGCCCAATGGTATGGCATCACATGTAACATGGTCTATACATTAAACTAAGAAACAAAACACTCCCATTATAAATTCAGGATACCAAATAGGGTTTTGCTCTTCAAACACTGTTTGTTTTGTCTCATCCAAGAGCTTAGGAGAAAAGAATCAAGTCTACTCAGATGGGACTCGAACCCAGGACCTCCTACAGGTGTTTTTTCTTCCAAGCTCTCGGGCAACATTGACTTGCGGTGTTCATGAATTTACACGTACATGTATGTTTGTGAAGAGCAAGCCCCCAAATTGCATTAATATCTCCCGAATACAAAATTCCATCAGACAAATTGAGTTTCAGGGGAGAATCAAATATCTACTAAAAAAAGCTTCTGTGACTACTATCAAAGTGACATCTTACCATCATGAGTGCTTCTAACATGAGCAGCACAGGCGTGCTCATGTCCATGCTGGGAGCGTGGCTGAAGTTAGCAGCAAGGTACCCGAAGCCGCCGGCAGCACACTGCAAGTTAGCAATGGCCTCCTGGATCCCTTCCGGCATGCTCCGGTCCTGCCGGGCACCTATCTGGGTGAACAGGGAGCAGACGTTGAACAGGACGCTGCCCTTCTCAAAGGCAATGGACCTCTGGACTGAGGGAATACCAGTCAGGGCATCATACCTGGGTGACACAAAGTACAAATTACATTTCGACTTTTTCACATTACTGATGGTATATTGTAAATAAAACTACATTCCTTCAGATAAGTTGATTTTAAAGAGGTTGTGGAATGCTCGAAGACATTTCCGTCATTTTTTTGGGTATATGTAGCCTAAGGTGTGATGAAATAAAAACGACTATTGTTTCTGTCATGAAATGAATACAAAAGGTACGTGCAATTTGTGTAAAAGTCGTCGTTGGGGGCAGCAAACAAAACATAGTAAATCGTGACGTTATAAACAGGACTTGTTTATACTACGCTGCATAGGGAGTCCTGTTTATTACGTCACGATTTACTATGTTTTGTTTGCTGCCCCCAACGACGACTTTTGCACAAATTGCACGTTCGGGTCGAAACAGGACCTGAAAAACAGCTCTCAAAAGTACCTTTTGTATTCATTTCATGACAGAAACAATAGTCGTTTTTATTTCATCACACCTTAGGCTACATATACCCAAAAATTGACGGAAATGTCTTCGAGCATTCCACAACCTCTTTAATGCTGGAGTCAATAGACCTTTATCATGCTGCCACCATTTTAGTCATGTTCTCTGTATCCAATAACAGTACTAAATGATAACATTTTTTGTGCAAAAAGGAACCAGACTATTTTTCCTTCCAGCCTCGCTTTGGTTACGTTGATTTGAATGGAAAAAAATACCATGGCCACAACATGATAATGGTCTATTGTTCTATTGAATGTTGCGTAGCTGACGATTGATGACCGCAACATGATAATGGTCTATTGTTCTATTGAATGTTGCGTAGCTGACGATTGATGACCGCAACATGATAATGGTCTATTGTTCTATTGAATGTTGCGTAGCTGACGATTGATGACCGCAACATGATAATGGTCTATTGTTCTATTGAATGTTGCGTAGCTGACGATTGATGACCGCAACATGATAATGGTCTATTGTTCTATTGAACGTTGCGTAGCTGATGATTGTAACAGAAGCAATTTGGGGAAGAGGCACACTGTGATCTTGCTGTATGAGAACATGTAGGTCTCTGTTTTAAAACAAAAAATAAGGAAGGTACATGTTGCTACATCTACATATCACGTTTTATTACCCATTCCATTCTATTTTCCCAGAAAAGTTTGATATCAATGTTTTTAAACAACATTAATGAATGCCATCTTTTGGCATATACATGTATCACTTTGCCTTAGATTTCGCTGAAAGTAGACAAGCGCAACACTGTGGTATCTACAGTAACTGGTACAGGTATGAATAAATGCACATTAACCGTGAGCACACTCATACATGCACTAACATGTAATAACATTTAAAATATCCTAAAAGTAAGTAAAGGATGCTAAACTTGGGTAAGATATTTGATAAAACTTTAGGCCTAAAATTTCAATCAAAACTATGTACCATCTTGTACCATTTGACCATCTCACCAAACCCAAAGTCTGTGACTCAGCGATTAAGAAAACCACTCGCTTCAAAATAAACTCTTGCCATCTTGTGCAGTTGGGATATCTTAAATGCTTATTTCTCCCTTGGCAATTTTGCCAGAAAACTTTACCAAAATCTAATACTCTGTATAAAATAAACAACTGCGCATGCTTTGTAACTCGGATTTTACAGCCCATTTAAAGTAATATTGCCTAAACTGTTCTATCCTGAAAATCAATCAAAGTAATGCCACAGCAGGTGTGGTATTTTGAAGCAGCACAACTACAACTTTCTCTGCTGAGTGCTATGATGTTACTTTTCTTTGTTACAAAACTTAATGGGATTAGCACTGACACCTACTGAGTCAATGTGCTCATTAATGATGAGTCAGGTTGGCGTAGCAGTACTTTCCTCGCCTTCCACTGCTGTGACCCGGGTTTGAATCCCGCCCGGGCCAATATGTGGATTGGGTTTTCAGTCCCTACCTGATTCCGTGGATTTTCCTCAGAATATTCCTCTGGGCTTTTCCTCCCACCTCTAAAACTGTAATTTCTTCTCATTGTCTTCTCTCTACAGGTTTCTTCAGGCTTTCGAGCTACAGTGCTTAAGGTACTTTTGAGGAATCCTTGGTTTCATTACCAGGAAGAATTAAAATAAAAAATAAAAAATAAACCAGTGCTTATGAGACTAGTATTAACTGCATAGAATCTCCATTATTTTCGTCTTTTCTGCGAAAAACAAAGCTACAGATATTTTATAACTGAAGTCTGATTTTTTCAGGCTAAACTGCATATATCATTCAAGAACAAGCCTCACCATGTCAGGTATATGCCAGTGTGTCTATCTGCAGGGAAGAATCGGTTTTCGATGAAGTAGAGCTGGTTGTAGTATTCAAATAACAAATCCACCCCTTCAGCGTTCCTCTTTGGGGTTCGCATTGCCTGATGGTAAGTGGGAAAACAAATACATGTAATAGGAAAACAATCTGGTGTTATTTGTGTCTTTAGAGTCCAGTTTAAACTTTTGAACTCTATATTGATAATGTACACAATACTTTGCCATTTCTGAAAGTCGAAGTCAATACTTCAATGACTGAAATCATCGGAGCATATAGTGTTTTTCAGAACTGCACGTGCAGGTAGCATTTAACCTCTGTAAGTAGAATGGCTATTCAAATTGCCAAGATATTTACAGGGATGACTGATCACCAATAGGGAACTTCCAAAGCTGGGTGGGACAGAAAAACCCCCTTGCAAAGCTACATGTATTTTGCAATATATGGGACAGGCAACTCATCACATACATGTACATGTCTTTCAAACTCTAGACTCATTCACTTGGCAGTTAAAGGGAATACATGTATACAACATTTGCTTTTGCTGTAATTCTCAGAAATGGATGGATTTTGGGGGTTAGTATTTTGTAGCAACTACCAGTATTTTTACACTGACTTGTTTGAAGTTTTGTGCTGGAAAAATCAAGAAACACAATCATGTTCTTGTAGTCTGGTTCCCTGACCCCACTTACATGTAAGATGAAATAGAGTAAGGTCAGGGAACCAATATAGCTGGCTTGTACCCATTCATATGGGCCTGTAATCGATTGCAAATGCGGACTAACTAAATATGGTAAATTGGGGGCAATATTTGAAAAATTTACTTGAAAATGACAGCATACCAGGTGCCATGATTTTACAGGATGCTTTAGACTATCATTCAGTAACAGTCCAGTAAGGTATTTCATAATAATTTGGTAGTTTTGTTTTTTGATGTTTACAAATGTTGTATATTCCCCTGCTACCTTCACCATGCAAACTTTGAAATCTTATCCCAACTCTAGATTATAAGATTTAAAAGAAAGTTAGCATTTATCGAGTTTATGAAATCTGTTCTCATTATACCTACATGCAGCAACCACTTGTCTGAGTGTCTGTGTGTGCCATCTAATTTATTTCCTTGACTCACGTACACTTTTTTTATGGGGGGGGGGGGGGGTTAGACGTACTACGTGCGTGCATTTGTACCTGCACAAGTACCCCCAGTAGTTCTAGCGTGTAACTCCTACATTCTTTACACAGCTTTAGGTCGGATCTCTCACAAAGACCAAGATCTTTGGGTATTTTTATTGAAGCATACAAGCTTATCTGCTACAATGCATTTTTTTTATTGCCACAAGTTATTTTTCTTCAACCGAGTAGCCTCATGAACAATAATGCAACGAGTGTATTGCTGGATAATTGTTCTGCTCAGTTAAAAAAAAATTCCAACCATATTTTCAAGTAATCCAAATAGTTAGGTGTGGCACTGAACAAAACCTTTTGCATTCTGTGCAATTTGCCCCGAGTCAATCTTGTGTTATTCCTAAGAGCGTTTGTATACAATGGGCATGGAAAGATCAAATATTGCTCTTTCTTTATTTTTTTCAATGCAGAATTTACTACACGTAAATGTACTTGCACAATCTGTGATAAAGGCTATAAGAATGATTTACATGGGCTGAGGTGCAGTAGTAATTGCAGTAGTAATTGAATGAGAAATGGTGTTTCGGACAAAACATTTTCCTAGGAGTTATCTTCAAAAAAACTTGACCAGTCAGTGTAGTTCAAAGGTTTTTGGAAGATTTTTGTGAGGATGCATCTGTGTTACATCTTACTTGTCAACAAACTAGCAAAACCAAAGCGAATCTGGCTACTGTCCAAACGGATATCATGCAAATTAAAGAACACAAGAGTACGAAATGTAAGTTTGTCACTCAGATACAGCTGAAAGACAGGAGGGGCAATTCCACGGTTACTCACGTTACATTTTTGATGTACTTTTGAGTTTCCTTGGGCTGTAATTACCTTACTGAAATGGTTTAATAACTGTTATTCCCATGGTAGATAGAGTAGACCTAGACCTAAGCACCACAGATGACATCCAGAAAAATGTGTTATGTATGATAAACAAGACGCACAAAATCGGTTACTCACGTAAATGTAACGTGAGTAACCGATTTTGTGCGTCTTGTTTATCATACTTAACACATTTTTCTGGATGTCATCTTTGGTGCTTAGGTACCGGTAGGTCTAGGTCTACTACCATACTCTATCTACCATGGGGATAACAGTTATTAAACCTTTTCAGTCCCAAGGAAACTCAAAAGCACATCAAAAATGTAACGTGAGTAACCGTGGAATTGCCCGGAAGACGCACTAGGGCAATGCCAGTGGACACACTTTGGACAGAAACTGGAACCGATTCAAACATGTAGGTACATGTACATGAGTACCTTACTTTGTCCAAAGTAACTGCAATTACGTGACAGTAATAAAAGAAGTGTTCAATGAATAAAAAAATCACTGGTAAGGCCAAAAAAAAAAAAAAATTCGGTCTCTGGTCAGACCAAAGTTCCGAAATTGACGCAGGGACACGGCTGTCTTTTTTGGGGGGGGGGGGGGGCTTTTTTTTTTTTCTCCAAGCTTGGATTGTACAGACAAGGTGGGGTACTATTTTGCTATTTGGTGTCCTCATGTACATGTACATTGGTGTCTTCCATAATTTGCCTTGGTGCTCTCGATCATTTGCCTTGGTGTAATTTCCCATTCCTTGGTGCTCTTTGGTAAAAAAAATTTGAGGAGGTGCGGCAATAGAGGGCGCTGTTGGAGCTACCGCGGAACATTTTGGAAAAAAAAAAGATTGACGCGCATTATTAAAATCGACGCGCGCGCTGACCAGAGACTGACTTATTAATTTTTTTGGCCTAAAGTCAGGCAGCCCAGAAGTAAGCACATACAATGCCGGCATTGGATTCTTTTTTTTGAGTCGCACAATACCCCTCTGTTAGGGTTATAAACGGGTAATGTTATCAGTACCTGTCTGATGTCCATAAACTCTTGTATTTCCTGCTCGTAGTTTGCACCATCTTCGCTGTAATGCTCAAGAATGTAATCCTGTTGAACGTTGGGAAAAGAAAAAGGGAAAACGCATTATCATCAAGCAGTAAATTATGAATGAAAATGACTTACATACATTACCAGTATGCTCATTGGTTTAGTGTCAAAAATCTTCAACATGTATAAAGATTTCATGATTTATTTATAGATAAATATGAAGAAATCTAAAACAGTTCAAATGCAAAAATCACAGAAACTGGCATTACTTTTCGTAAAATTCAAAATAAATAACGAAAATTCTCTTGAAATTTGTTTCAACAAACCACACCCAACATTAAACACACTCAACCGATCCAGAAATCAATACAGATACGTTCAGAATTGACGTACGCCGTATAATTTCAGCTATAAATACACTGCCAGGGACTCTCCAGACCACCCACCTGGCAGCATTTTAAAAGTCAAGTCTATCGATATTCCCTCGGTTTCTGCGCTGAAATTTACCCAGCTGTTTTTCAAATGAAAAACTGTAGCCAACTCAAATAGTAAATTGGGTCAACTTGACGACAGATGGCTTTCAAGGAGTTGTGATTTTATTTTTTTATTTTTTGAAAAATATTTTTAAGTGTTTAGGTAATTATTATACATGTATGGCAGATTGGTTGACGTCATTGAAATAATGTATGCTCATGCCACAGCCTAAATATAGTGTTGGTGTCTCTGTTAATTATAATAGTGTGGGCAAACTTTAACCTGGAAAAGTTTATTTTAAACTTTGCATTCATTCTTTCATGATCCAAAATTCCATAGTAGATAATAATTAAAGGGAATATACCGGTACATCATTTGCTTTTGCTGTAATTTTCAGAAATGGATGGAATTGGGGGGTTGGAAATATATAGCAAATATAGTTACACTGACTTTTTTGAGGTTTTGGGTTCGAAAATGCTATAAAAACCAAGAAAAACAATCATTTTCCTGTAGTCTGGTTCCCTGACTCCATTTAAGAAGAAACAGAGCAGTTTACATATATTGGGGAATTGTAAGGTCAGGGAACCAGTCTAGCTGGCTTGTACCCGTTCATAGGTGTGTAATCGATTGCTATCAAGTGCGATGGTCAACTGGGGCCAGTATTTGAAAAAAAAAGCCAGTTTTTTCCAACGCTGATCGGCCGATCAGTGTTGAAAATTGATACAAAAATACCACTTTTCTTGAAAATGACAGTATACCAGGTGCCATGATTTTACAGGATGCTTTACACTGTCATTCACTAACAGTCCAGCAAGGTATTTCAAATGATTTGGTAGTTTTATTTTTTGATGTTTGCAAATGTATTTTCCCTTTAACGACATGCATATTAAATCCCCTAAGGGTTCATCAGGACTACCCTGCTCGATCCAACAGAATCCAAACTGTGCCTATTTTTTAGTTGTCTGCTGGATCCAACAGAGTCCAACTTGGCGTTATTTATCAGTACCCAACAGAATCAGACTCTGAATATGTACATACTACATTTGTACAAGGGGTTTACTGCTCAATCCAACAGAATCCAACAGGCTCCAACAGGTTTATGGTACAGTTGGATTCTGTTGGATTCAGCAGGGTTAGGGTTAATACAATCATTCATGTTATGACAAACTGGATGTTAAATTGAAAAAGCTTAATTTGACAGAGGGACTGTTTTTACAAAAAATAATAACCAAAACAATGGAATATTTAATGTGACAAGTTTTAATAGTCTCACAATAAACACATTTTTTTTGATTCATCAATTCAGCAGAAAACAAAATGATGTTTTAAATTCCTAACATTATCTGGACCGTAACAGGATTCCCATGACTTTGTGAAAAACAAATTTTCTGAGTTTTCCTGATATTTCCTTGAGAAATTTCCAGAATTCCATGGGAACGTTTTTTTTTTGGATGAGGTTGCTTGAAGTCAAACTGGCGAAAACCTTTTCCCTTGTGGGTCACTATCAGATTTCCTGTGTTTTCCCTGATTGTTGGCGTTTTCCCCAAATTCCCTGAGTTCTTCCTGACTGGAAAAATAGAAAGTCATAAATTAAGAGAAAACTTTAATTTTTTTTAAAGTTTTCTCTTAATTTTTTTTTTTCAGTGTGCACCTACCTGAAACACCAACTTGACATCGATATCTTTAGTCTCTTTCAAGCCTAGTGGAATGAGTGGAACACTTCTGAGGAATGTATCATTCTGATAGGCCTCTACCTCACTGTTGATCTCTGCTAACTCTTCCTTGAGGAGCTGCAGGTTGGAGTTCACGAAGCTCAGCTCCATGGCAACCTGCTCCTTGATCTTACGGTTGCTGGCTGCCCTGTGGTGGGGGGGGGGGGGGGGGGGGGGGGGAGGAAGAAAACATGTCGTTTAAGCAGATTGAAAAATATTAACACGGTACAATTTAATGAACATGTAACCTAATGTCTTACATACCGGGTAGTGTGTAATATTAACGGGAAAAAAACATGTCAGTTTACATCTGACGCAGTACATGTACATGTAGTTATATTTTGCCTTGCCTATTTTTAAGTTGTTAATAAAGACACTGAAATATGAGCTAAAATTGTTCACGTCAGACTAGTGCTGCACGGAACATGTTATATATATTGTATGTATGCCAATTCAGTGTTGGAAATCAGGTCCTACAGTCGTGACAGCAAGTGTGTTTGAAGCAAGATTTTCAAAACGAAACATGTGACTTGAATCAAGACTAGCACAATAATGGCTCGATTTTCAAAACCAAAATATTGTACCCCAAAAATCCTATGCACAAAAAACACAAATTTTCAAAGTATAGTTCTGTATAAGCCTACATGTTTATATTCTAATTTTTAATGATCATTTCAAGCATTTTTATCTCATGGTAAATGAGTTTTACAGCCCAACAAGGTACATTCCAGAGGAGAGGCCTCCTTTGTAGTCATGTACATGTACTCACTTCAGCATCTTGTAATTTAACATTTCCTTTGGCTGAAATTGTTAAGTTATTTTTGCAATACCATTTCAGGGTCACACTTAGGCCTATATTTTTCTTTGGAATTTCCCAAGCTTTGGAAGTTCATTCGAGTGATGACAATACAATGTCAATGACACTGTACTGGCTGAATGCAAGCAGCCTTGCCTAATCTAAGGCGAGGGCACCAGGGAGGAAAACGACAAAAGGCACATCAATGCAATACAGCGGTAAATAAAGTACATGTACATGTGTATGCATATGTGCCACCAATGTGTGCTGAGTACACGTACAAAATTTTCTACACGTACATGTACATGTACATATCGGTATGCTGGTACATCTACATACTCTACAAATTATGCATTGATTCGCTGTCTTTGAAAGGAACACAAGTAGGGTTGGTACAAATGGATAAAATTGCAAAGAGTTCTACGAACATGTAAATTATTTCTTGAATCTGTCATACTTTGGAATCACGTGTCGTGAACATGTGTCGAACCCACGCATGCAAAACTTTTATGAAGAAGAGTCAAGGCTTTGTTAGCCTGTAATACTGTGCGAATACATGTACACAACATAAGCCTGTACATTATGCGTCGTTAATCATCTCACTGTGCGTACAGAAGCGGTGTACATACATGTACAGGTACCGATAGTTACATACAGTGTACATGTACATGTACACATCATACATGTACAATGTACATACATGGTACATGTACATGATGTATACATTACACGACCTAATTTTCAATTAACACTCTCTGACTTGTGATTTGTAAGACGCTTTCATGGACATGGAGACAAGTTTCTAAGCTTGGTGAAGCCGTGGACCTACATGTATCCTTTTTGTTGAAGCTCCATGCATACATTACACAACCTAATTTTCAATTAACACTCCCTGACTTGTAATTTGTAAGGCGCTTTCATGGACACGGAGACTTCTAAGCTTGGTGAAGCCATGGAGCTATCCTCGTTATTGAAGGTCCATGGTAAATCCAAGATGTCTACAAGTAATGAGTTCTACTGGACTTATGATGTACATGTACATGTAGTCTTTGGCAAAAATTAAAGGGAATATACATCATTTGCTTTTGCTGTAATTTTCAGAAATGGATGGAATTGGGGGGTTGGAAATATATAGCAAATATAGTTACACTGACTTTTTTGAGGTTTTGGGTTCGAAATGCTATAAAAACCAAGAAAAACAATCATTTTCCTGTAGTCTGGTTCCCTGACTCCATATAAGAAGAAACAGAGCAGTTTACATACATTGGGGAATTGTAAGGTCAGGGAACCAGTCTAGCTGGCTTGTACCCGTTCATAGGTGTGTAATCGATTGCAAACAAGTGCGATGGTCAATTGGGGCCAGTATTTGAAAAAAAGCCAGTTTTTTTCCAACGCTGATCGGCCGACCAGCGTTGGAAATTGATACAAAAATACTACTTTTCTTGAAAATGACAGTACACCAGGTGCCATGATTTTACAGGATGCTTTACACTGTCATTCACTAACAGTCCAGCAAGGTATTTCAAAATGATTTGGTAGTTTTATTTGTTGATGTTTGCAAATGTTGTATTTTCCCTTTAAGCCTTTTGGCAATTTTTTGATTACATGTACATGTATATTATTAAGATATGATAGAGCTGAGTTTTAGTGTGGGTGGTTTTGCATGATAAGCACTTGGCAGAAAACACACTGATGCCCATACAGGTAAATGTACCAGTACATGTACATGTACATGTATGAGTACAGATCTATGTGTTCTGTTCTGCATGTTCCTAAAGTGTACTGTCCAAAAAGTATGTATGTAAATAATGCTGAAAATCAAAGATTGTAAAGTGTATCCATGAGCTAGGGGTGTCCATTTTCGAATAACTTAGTATTCGATTACTTGAAACAGCGTTCGACCGAATATTCGAAACTGCAAGCTGCAATTGCGTACTGTGGCGGTAAAAATTGCAGGAAGAGTTTGCCAGTCAAATTGCGTGCGGCAATCAATATGGGGCGCTGGAGTATATTGCAGTAAATATTTTACAAAGTAAAAGGGCTTTAACCTGATCAATGAACCACCAGACAAAAAAGTTACTGTCTACAAAAAAGTGGCACAGCTGACAATAAAGCGCCGGAACTTTACGATACAATAACATCACAGTCATGTGTGTGTACATACATGTACGTTGTGCATATTTTTTTCTGTTTTTGAATATTCAAACCGGCAAAAAATTATTCGAATATTCAGTTGACGATCAAACATTCGACTTTTCCGTATATTTGGGACAGCCCTATCAGGAGTTCGTACTTTACAGGTACTTTGGATTAATGAATCAGAGAAATGATCCAAAACTCCTAGTTTTTGATACCAATGAGCATTAATTACTAGACGATGAAAGATAAGATTTGAAAATCACATTCAAGTATACTAACTGAGTTCTTAAAAGCTCTGCCAGAGACTAATAATCGATACTGAAGGAATTGCCTACATGTAGATTTGTGATTTGTAACAATCACTCCCTCTCCAGCTGGCAAATTCAGCCAGGCCATCACAGCAGTCAAAATCAATCAAGTGACTGTTTTTAACAGTTAAAAATTCCCTTGTAAATTATGCCAGCTGTACCAGTTACCTCTTTCGTCAGTTGATGGAATTTGACTTATACACATGTAGTCACAGAGTTTACAATTACATGAATGTAATCCGACTGGTTTTTTTTACCAGTCTGTATTATAAGGCATGGCAGAAGAAGTGGAAGAAATTTGTGAACGTTACCTAGTGACTGATACAGATTTCCGAATGACAGGACCCAGTGGGTACATGTAGGGTGTACGATTCAATTTACTTCTTGACACTTGGTTTTGTGGGGGTCATGTACTGCAATGAACGGTTGTCTTGAGTTCTAGAGAATGCAAGGTCACGAATGTCAAAAGGTCGCTACAAGGAACCTTTCTTGGAGTTGGTTTCTCCAACCTCAGGACTCTGTAATCTAAACAATTTTGTTTTTACATTACTTTCTTGCCACCAGTTTGAAGAGTATAATTTATACTGTGGAACAGATTGAGCAAAGACCAAAGTCATATTTTTGAAGAACTGGCATTGGCAGCTAGGCTTGCAAGAATGCCAAAACAATTACCAATCAATTTACTCTTGAAGACAAAATTTGATTTTTTTTTTTCTTTGAACCCACTAAAATACATTCTGAAAATCTTTGGCGCTCAACACACATTTCCAATAAGCTAAAGTAAAGTTTTTCAAATTTCCCAACTGTGTTTTTTTCAATTTTTCTTTTTAATCCAAAAAATTCAAAAGTTTCCCTGATGTACAGAAATCTTGAAACACCTCAGTCTACAGTACAATGTACATGTTATTGTTATTGTACATTATATGCCGTCCACTTTGTGGATTGCAGAAAGTACAATCCACGACATGAAATCTAACATTTTGTTTTTGACAACCCAATTCCCTGACAGGTACAAATTATAATGTAAGAACTCAAGATTTGTCACAAAAAGGGGGAGAACACACACTTTTAAGGAATAATTGTGTATTATATTTTAATATTTCTGATTTCATCTGACACCCATTCGAAATAACGTACACTGTAAACATGTACATGTAGGCTCCATATGACATCACAATAGTTTTGTATCACCTACGTATATTATCAAGGACGCCTTTTCAGACCCAGCCTTGGTCACATTTTGCTAGCATGAGGAAATTCTACGTAATAACTCCGAGCTATTGTACACATTTCAAGTCTGCTTAGCATATCACAATAGGCAGGGTCGGTGATTACAATGATAAATATTTGAGGTAAATATGTAACCGAAGAATAACCTCAGTGGGAAACCAGGTTGTTCAGGACAACTAAACAGAATGCTTTCCATTACAGTATGTAAGCTAATTACCACATGCCCATGTACGTTATGTATAAGATTAAATAATTTCAAATAGAAACGAGACAAAACTAATATTGAGTTTTGCCCTCCACCGATGTAACTTTAAAAGCGCTGTATACTTAGTGCTGTCGAGAGCTTACAAAATCCACAAAACTTGCTTGTGTGGGACTTGAACCAATGACTTACATACATTTTTGTGGTGCAAATGTCTTAACAACTGGATTACTGGGTTTGGAGGGGTTGGCCGGCAGGTTCGAATCTGATAGGCTACTCACCGCAGTAGCAGCAGGTACATGTACATTTTGTATACTGCAATCAGTGTCTAGTACATAATGAAACTGATGGATTAACCCTAACTCCCTAGATACATGTACCGTACAATGTACATGTATACTCAAGATACATAGTATGTAATGTTCCTTGTGGTATTTAACTCATCTGACCATGGACCTCCTAGTCAAGATCCC